AACAGTAGTTTGGCATCGTTAGATAGCGCCACATTGGTGTCCTGCCAGAGGTAGTGCTCTGCTCTGAGTTGCTGAAGAGTCTGTCTTGGAGGTCTGCATGAGGTGAGTATGTCCTGGAAGTATTCCAGAGCATACCTTCTGATGGCATCCGTGCTGATTGCCCTGTCCGCTTCTGCCAGGAACGGATGCTCCAGCTCTCTGAACAGCGTTTGGCGGGGGGGGGGGGGCGCGCGAGGCAATGCCTCTTTCTGCTGCTCGTTTGGCCCACTGGGTCTGTTGTTGAATTTGGAGTTGCTCCCATTTCTGGGGCCATGTTTGTCTTCTGTGCTCCCAGTACAGCTCCACCAATGGTTGTGTTTCAAGCATCCTCTCTGCTTCCTCCACTTGTAGTCTGCATTCTTCCTCCTCCAGGCGTCTTCCCCTTGCAAACACTCTTGAGAAGACATCCAAGGCCCTCGTTATCATCCGGAATCCGCCCTCGTTATCATCCGGAATCCCAGCTTACCCATTCAGCCTCGCGAGTTTCACGGTCGTTTCGTTTTTCGTTTCATTTTTTTGCACCATCCGGCGAGGCCCACACACAACTCCCCCGCTCGCGCGCACATTTTCTTTCTTTTTTGTTTTTTTTTTGTTTAATTTGGACCATTTCTCGATTTGTGCGTGTCATCCTTGAAAGCGGCCATGCTTTTTTTTTTTTTTCGCCCCGAAGGACTGCGCGCACATTTTCACCAGCGGAGGCCTGATTATTTCTTTCGGCCGGGGGCGCGCTGCGCGCGGGCCGCCAGCTCCCCCCCCAAAAAAAGAGCGGGCCGACGTCCTGTGGCAGCGTGCAGCATCCACGGCGCGCGCTTCCTTCGCGTGTGGCACGCAAGCAAGTGACCTCAGCAAGCTGTCAAGTTGTCAACTTTTGTGCTCTTTCCTACTTTTTTCCGTTCGGGTTTAGGCAATCCCTCGTGCGAAGAGACGCATGGATCTTACTTGCGTGACGTATTTCTCGGATCGATCTGTCAATGCATCTGGACAGATTGACGGCCAGATCCAGCAGGACGCGCTGCTGACAGCAGGCATTTCTTGGAGCATCGCCACAGCACTCACGGAATGTGAAAAAGACAGCTAAGGCGGGTGTATCGTTCCATGTCCTTGGGGAAGATACATGCTCGGTTTTCCGGTGAGTTGCGTGGCGAGCCCAGCGGGGAGGTGGAATTTCCGCCTCGGTGCGACATCGCACAGGAGCGGCCCTCGACTCCTCTCGCTTCTGTCCGTGCAATCGTTTTCTCGTTCCCCGTTATTTAGGGCCTCGCTCCACCACACCAAACGGGCAAAATGAGAATGAATCTTCCGCTACAACAGCGAAAGATACACGGTGAGTGGTGGAGCGGGGCCCCTAGTGAGTGGTGGAGCGGGGCCCCTAGTGAGTGGCGGAGCGGGGCCCCTAGTTTCGTATTTTCTCTCGAAGGGTTCTGAATCGAGAAGAGTTTGGAGTCAACAAGCCATCCATCGATTCTCGCGCAGGATAAAAGCTTACCGTTGGTGTGCTGTATGGTTCGCTCGTGCCTGCCATATAGAGGACACACACACACACACACACACACACACACACACACACACAGAGAGAGAGAGAGAGAGAGAGAGAGAGAGAGAGAGAGAGCGAGAGCGAGAGAGAGAGAGAGACTCTTATACATCGCTTTGTTTGCCGTATTCTACAACAAGAAGTTCGATGTCTTACGAATAAAATCGAGTAATGTATCGGTCTTTGTGTGCGTGTTGTGTATCCTTTTGTTTTGTGAAAGGAGGCTGGCGTGCAGCTCTGTGAGCTCTGCGAAATAACCATAAGAGTATAAGATCTATGCATTCTTGTCATCTTATATATATAAAAAATATAATATATATTTATATGTACATATGTATACATAGTTTTTCTCTTTGACGATAGTGTGTGTGTGTGTGTGTGTGTTGTGTGTGACAATAATACGGGCTGTGTACAAAGCGGTAGGGATCTTTGATCGTATTGCAAATATGTTGGTGGTGGGTTTTACTTGCCTGGCCGACGTGTTGGATTTTCGGTTTTTTACCATAGTTTTGCACCCCCAGCGCTTCCTCTCTCGCCCCCCTCCCGCCTCTCTCTATCTCTCTCACACACACACACACACACTGCCACTCGCTACGGCAGTCGCTGAGGCAGTCGTTCGGTGAAACGATCAACCACTTTCGACAATAAGTCGGTCGCTGAAGGACATGCTCGCGCTTGGAGTATCCTGAATGCATATAGACGCAAGTACGTCTGTATGCAGTGGATAAAGTCCCTAGTGTGAGTGCGGCCCAACTCAGAAGTTGGTCACTCAATAAGACAGTGTCACTCTGTCGATCAGTACGGGCCATTTGAAATTGGCTCTGAACGACTTTCTAGGGCGCATCTGACTGCAATCACTTGGCGAAGTCCTAGCGCGATTGGTTATGACACTCGTCAGTCACTCAATCCGTTAACTCGGGGGAGTCATTCCGTCACTCACTTCGTGTTTGCTGGCATCCGCGTACTCACTGTCTGTCAGTCGGCGAATACTCACAATCACACTACTCGCGTCTTTTCGGCTTTAAGTTATCTCTGGACGTCTTTTGCGCTCAGATTCCTCCCGCCGTGGCTGTAAAATCGGTCAGATACATGCAGGAAAATCCTACTGTGAGTATTCCCTCAGTCACTTAATTTTGCTCTCGCGCATTCAGTCTCTCTATCAAGTTAAACTCCCATCAATCTCGAGACAGTTCAGGTGTTCACTTCACGCAGTATGTTCACTGCGACGCATGTATGGAAGCTGTACGCACGCAATGCTTTTTCGTTTTCTTTCCCCCCCCCCCGCCCCCTCTTCGGTTCCAACGATCGGTGATGATGCGAGACTGATTGCCGCTGTCTGAGTGGTCCCGGATATAGGAAGCGAGTAGGTGGATGAGAGGTCACCGTGAAGATTGACGTGAAACTTCATGGCAGCTGCACGGAACGTTCACAATGGGTTCGTCCCGGATTCGTCCACGGAAGCTCGATCCCCTGATCAGCACCGGCAACCGATTTACAGTAAAGTCATCGGCTGCGCCGAAGCAGCCTGCTAAAAGATCGGTCGGTCGGTCGGCGGATCGATCCGTCGATCGATCGATCGACCGATCGATAGATCGAAGGATCGAAGAATATGACGAGTCTCGGCGGCTTTGTCAACTTAGGCTCGTGTGTACGGGTGCTTTAAGAATCAACTCCTTTTTCTCCCGTTGTTCCCTTTTTCCCCTTTGGATCCGCTGAGGTGGGGTTTGGTCCCGGCTTCTTCGTCCTTCTTCTGGGTGAGTATTGATGATGATGATGATGATGATGGTGGTCATTGATGATTAGGAAATGTAATGCTACATAGAAGAAAGCACCGCGATGTTTGCCATGTCAGCAGCCCCATCGCTCCTCTCTGCTAATCGTTTTTTCTCTCGCTGCAACCTTACGCAGCGCGCCACGTCCGCCAATCGATCTATCAATCACTCAATCATTCAAGCATTCACGCCAGCCACCAGTGGACTGATCTATCGGTCGCGCATGGTTGTAGTCTCCGCCTGTTTTGTTTGTTGTTCTCTCACTTCCTCATTCCGTTTTCCTTTGATTTGATAAGTTCCGGACATTATGGAGGCCCCCCTACCCCATTTATCAGCTCTGATTCATGCATAGCTATCATGGTAACAGCCGGTGTTTTCACGATGATGTTTTTTGGTCACTGATTGATTGATTGATTGATTGATTGATTGATTGATTGATTGAGATAATGTGAATGATGTCGTTGGATCGGATGTTGTAGTTAAGATAGAGACATTACTATTACGGAAGAAGAGAGAGGAAGGCACGAGGAGTTGGGGGCGAGAGGTGGGGGGGTGGTGGGGGGGGTTAGGGGGGAGAAGAAAAAGGAGAGGTGGTTTGGTGTTCATTGGTGGGAAAGGAAGGTTGAAGCGAAGGCGAGTGGTGGAGGGGGTGAGAAAGAGAGGGGGAGGAAGGCGAGTAGGGACATCACGGAGAGGGACAAATCAAAGGGGGGGTTTGGTAGTGGGCAACGGGTCACGATGGGTGTGAAGCTGCAAGTGCGCGTTGTTGAAGCCCGAGACCTTCTGGGCAAAGATATGAATGGCTTCAGCGATCCGTACGTCCGGATACAGGTCGGAGCATCAAAGGCCAAAACGACAGTCGTGCACAAGAATCTGGATCCCTACTGGAATGAAGAATTCCTGTTTAATGTGGAGGATCCGGAAAAGGATGTGTTGTCGGTGTCTGTTTGGAATGAGGAGTTCATAAAGACCTCCTTCCTAGGGCAGCTGAAAATACCAATTCGAGAGGTGGCGGATTACGCGGGAGCTTCCGCAACGGCTCTGCGGTGGCATAAGCTGGAGAAGAGATCGGAGAGGTCGCGAGTAAATGGTAAGATTAAGTATTAAAATCGTCAAATTGCTTGAAATGATTAAAATTACTAAATTAGTAAAATTAGTAAAATGATCGAAATGAACTGTTTTTCCCCTTTAGTATAAAAG